AAAAAAAAAAAAAACAAAAAAAAAAGATAAATAAATAAATGAATAAAATAAAATAAAATCAAGAAAGAACTGGGGCTCAGTACCTGTGGCTCAAGCGGCTAAGGCACCAGCCACATATACCTGAGCTGGAGGGTTCAAATCCAGCCTGGGCCCACCAAAAATTACGATGGTTGCAACCAAAAAATAGCCAGGTGTTGTGGCGGGCGCCTGTAGTCCCAGCTACTTGGGAGGTAGAGGCAGAAGAACTGTTTAAGGCCAGGGCCAGGAGTTGGAGGTTGCTGTGAGCTGTGATGCCACAGCACTCTATCCAGGGGTACAGCTTGAGGCTCTGCCTCAAAAAAAAAAGGATCTGGGTGCTGTAACTTGGTGGTTAGCGTGACAGCCCTGCATACGAGAGGTGGCCAAGTTTGAACCTCAGTTGAGCCTGATTAACCAAAAATAACAGTAATAATAAATAAATAAATATAAAATTGGGCAGTGCCTATGGCTTAGTGAGTAGGGTGCCGGCTCCATATGGCAGAAGTGGCAGGTTGAAACCCAGCCCTGGCCAAAAACTACAAAATAAATAAATAAATAAAATCAAGAAAGACCTGGGCAAACCAAGCCAGCTGGTCACCCTACCCAGGAACATGACTCAAAGAGAAAAGAGCTGATAGGGAATGCAGAGGTCAAGGGAGAATTCCCTCTTGTACTGCATGTCAGATGTGTTTCAGTGGTGACAGAGATAATCCCAGAAGCACAAGTTTGAAGTGACAGGAGAGAAGGGAGAATCCCTGGTGTGACACCATTGGAGGGTGAGAGGGAAAGGGCTCTGCGCTGCAGTGGAAGGTGGTTCTGGCCAATTCACCCACTGAAACTGAGTCTGAGAACATGTGCAATTTCTGCTGTGGCTGCTTCTAATTTTTCCCAAGATGCCAGATCAAAGTTGAGTTGAGAAGGGGGAGAGATAAGAAGGTGAGGTGTCCAGGAGTTGGGGAGGGAATAAACGAGGAAGGAAGCAAGGCCACAAATAAAGCTGGAGGGTGGGCTCAGCGCCTGTGGCTCAAGCGGCTAAGGCGCCAGCCAGATACACCCAAGGTGGCGGGTTCGAATCCCCAGCCCGGGCCTGCCAAACAACAATGATGGCTGCAACCAAAAAAAAAATGGCCAGGCGTTGTGGCGGGCACCTGTAG